TGGCACTGTGCAAAATAACGGTACATGACAATGTATTCCCCGTTATAGGTAAAGCTAAGTGGGAATGCTCACTCACCTTCAGCTAGCTGCGTCATCGTTGTGGATTCTAATTCCAAAGCCATTAGCTCATATAAATACACCGCAGAGTATCCGTTAAGATAACCTAGTTTAGGGAACTAAGTTCGATATCCCGAAGCGTCATGAAAATGGACGATATAGAAAAATAACGACTGAATTTGGAAGTGCCTTTTAGGCCTAGCTAACCCCGATGGAGAAGTAAGATCGTGGACAGTCTAAACGACTGTAACATTTGCTTACTTTTAAGCTGTTTACTAACCACATATGGTTCTGGTTGAGCTTCAGAACGTGTCGGCATACATAACTGCTACGGAAGCAGCGAACGCGCTGCAGATGCCATATGTCCGCACGTTTCAAAGGGTCTTGCCACCAAGAGACATACCAACCTTGGTTGTCTCCTCGCCAGGACTAACCAACATCGCTTTTGCCGCGGTGGCTGTATTACAAAAGTTCACGTCTGTACGCAAACAGCTCACCGGGTGTCGACACCATTCGTCCAGGGATACTGAGAGCAGCGGCAAGCCAACTGATAGGACCTTCAGGCCAGTTTTCTAGCGTTGCCTAGAACAGAATCAAGTTCCCGCTATGTGGAATCTTGGAATATTATCCCCGATTCACAGAAGTGGAAGCAGAACTGATCTCCTCAACTACCGCCCAGTAAACCTTCTTCCTATACTCACCAAGGTCACGGAATCCATAGTTGTCGATGCACTGGTAAGTTATCTGGAAAACTGTAATACCATCATGTTGAGCTGCATGGCTTCCGCCGACAGCGATCATGCACAACGAATTTACTGATCGCACGCAGTAGTTGGACCGAGGCAACTATCACTGGAGAAGGCGTTGATGTGATCTACCTGGAATATTCGAGGGCTTTTGATCATCTAGACAATCGGGTAATACTCTCCAAACTCCAGTAGTACGGGTTCGGCAACCCTCTTTTAAGCTGGATTGCTAACTTTCTACTTCAATGGTAATTAGTGGTCTGAGTTCTGAACTCTTTATCGGACCCCATACAAGTCGAGTATGGTGTGCCGCAAGGCTCAGTTCTAGGTCCACCTTTGTTTTTGGTGTTTATTAATGACCTTGCACGGAAATCGTTTTAAACCTCCTGATGAATGTCGACGATATCAAGATCTGGAGCAGGATCCAGGCGAACGCCGACCAACAGGTGATTCAGAGTGACCTAGATATGGTGTATAAATGGGCAACCCAAAACTTACTGCAATTCAACGTGCCTAAATTCAAGGTACTTTCCATCCGACATCAGAGCATTTACTCATACAGGCTCGGAACGAAAATACTACATCGAGCAACTCTCGAACTTGACTTGGGTATCCTGGTTCAAGATGACTTGGATTGCTCCAAGCCATCCAAAAACCGCTCGAAGACTGGGCACCAACGCGTCGGGTTATTGCGACGGGCATTTGGACAAATATGCATCTCCATATTTCAACAATTGCTCAGTGTGTATGTTCGCCCCCATGTCGAATACTCAATCCAAGCCTAGCATCCATGGCTGAAACACGACCTTAATGCACTGGAACAGTCACAACATCGGGCATCTGAGAATGTAATTAAAATGCGCAATCTCTCATACCAAGAGAGGCTGCAACGATTGGGATATTCAGAGGAAGTTATCGCAAGCTACCAAGCGAGCTGATAATGGCATACTTGATTCTGCGAGACCCGCATCATGTGTGCCGTCATCTACTGCAACTCAGCACCAATGTAAACCTGATAGGCCACTCAGAAGTGACGCAGAAATTTCTTTTCCACTCGTGCCTGTCACACGTAGAATGCTCTCCCAGAATCGGTAGTCACTGAAACGACACTGACAATTTTACGACAGTTGGATGATGCACTCGTCCACTTACACTTTGTCACTTAGCACTACGTCATCATCCTACACCTGGAGTTTATGATGGAATTATTTGATGTTAAGTGTGGGTGCGGTGAATCGAATCTGATCGCAGGACTACAGCGGAGCAAACGATAAGTCCCTGTTTCATATTTAAATTACTAACTGTTTTGCTGTTACTATTATCGTTATTGTTATGTCGATATGCCCACCAACTATCCAACGTGGCCTGTAAAGCAAGGCTTCTTAACCCGTATAAATTTATTATTCACTGACTCCAATCATTCAGTATTTGTTATACCACTATGAGGTCTCCCCACAGCGACCACTGAGCAATCCGAGGTTCTGCAGTCATTCGGAAAAGGAAGGTGGCGCACGCCTTTAACATTCTTCGTTTCCCGGCGTCTTTCGGGTTCAGCAAGATCGCATTTTAACCAGAGTTGCGAAGCCTGGACAGCTTGTTCAACTTTGGACGTACGTAGGGGTACAGTACCCTGGAGAAGATGAATGAAACTATACTGTCGTGTATCCCTTGCAATAGATCAGCGTACTGGTTGCCAGTTGTTAAAGGTGATTTGAACTGCCTGGAACAACAACGAATTGTTTAAACAAGATGATAGGTCTCTTGTTCTCGAAATATCTAATCAATTAGGCATAACATGGTTTTCTACAGGCCTGGTTAGGTGCGTCTTTCAAATTGAACGTTTTTAAATACAAAGCAATGGGTGCTGATGCTGAGAAGTCCGTTGTAAGTATATATCTCATTATGCATAAACCATTTCACTAAGTTTCAAACGTTAGATTGCGAAACGCGTTACACTTTGTTGGCATTTTGTAATTGGTTGTATCTACCGACCTCCCCGAGCAACCCACCATGAAACCTATCAGCTAATAGATGCTGCCTACACAGTTTCTATCACTACCTACAACTCCAAACTTATGTACGAAGATTTCAACACACCACAAGTTAACTGGCTACAGCCTGGACCTACGGTCTAAACGGGACTAGACGAAATGGAATACTCTATCAATTTCAATGGCTGCATAACATACGTCAGAGGGCCCACCGGAAATGCCAATACCCTAGATGTAGTATTCACTATGAGGATCCATTCCACTTGTGCACTCACTGACAGTCCACTACCGGGCTGCGACCAAAACATGGCGTATTTTATCGTGAACATTGAAAGAATTAATCCAATCCAGTACAAAGTTGCAACCCACTCATTCACCGAATTGACCGAAATGCATTTAAGGAACTTATCTGCAATATGAATTGGGAGCCATCATTCTGAAACAACAACCCGATTATGGCTGCCGGTGAATTTGTAAACAACGTTGCTGCGCGTCCTGATTTTCGAGCACCTGTGGTAAGGGGCCGCACCCATAAGCAATGCGACGTACACGACTGAACAAGGCCGAAAGCAAATTGAATAAACTTAGGGCATCTCATCAGAGGGCCAACAATTTCGCTTCGCATCATAAATACATTAAGGTACATTAAAAACATAACGGCTGAAACAAAACGCAAAATTCGCGGACGAAATTAGAGCGTATAAAATCCTAGAAAATTCGAAGGCACTGCCATGGATACTTAGGACCAGAAAGCCCAAACCGCATCAAATAATCGAAAAATTGGCATAATGCTTTGGCGCAATCGTGCAAGCTGATACTTCATCCGTGACCGTGCGATGTTCTCCGATTTGTTTGATGTTGTAAACATCTACTTCGTTGCTATTTACAAACATTTCACATCTTTCATGTAAATAGAAGTAAATAAATGAATAACTGTATTTTCTCTATTGTACATGATAAATACCATCGAAGGCCAGATTAATTTTTACAACCAGCAATTGCCTGACTGTGAGGGCAATAGATGAATACAGGAATAAATTGGTGTGCTGTCTAATGGTGTCTCTAGTGCGTCGGGATAGACTAAAATCGAAGAGCATTGTCTCGTTGTCAAGTCAAGAATTCGCTTTTATCCACCAGTAAAGGGTGGATTTTCAGCTGTAACACACACGCGATCGAAATGGTAAGGCAAACAACATTGTGACCTTACATTGTGCTCCCGACAGTATGATTCTCATTAGCAGCGAAAGCAGCCTAATAAAAGTTTACTGGTTTGTTGGAAGCCAGTCATGAGGTGATAACAGCTTCTATGGCGATAGCAATACGGCGCCCATCGACCGGTCATCACATATGGCTAGACTGTTTTTCGCAGCTGCTAGCACAGCAATCCACTAACCGTTTCACGGAGAACCGTTCTGCTGCCTTTTTATCTGGGTAAAGGCTGACTACCGATCGATCGAAGTATGACACCTTCAGTGTGGCTGTAGTGTTTAGCTCACGTCCAATCCTCACAGCCGAACGGCGTGCGTTCCCTTGGTCTTGTCCTGCGGTTCACGCGTGATAAGTCCTTTGAGGCCGTGGTGTTTGCTGACGTTCACCACACACAGCCGAACGGCTCAGTGTGCCCTGCGATCACACGCACACATATCGCGTCTCTGTGTGCCATCTCGCCCCTGCATGCAAAGCAATTTACGTCATTGGACAGTCAGCCATTCAACGTACCGGGATACGTCAGCACCTGCGTGCAGCCGCTCTTAGCTTCGGAGCAAATTAATAAATCACCCTGGTTATTCTCATACTGCATGTATACCTACCAATGAAACTGTGCTTTGGTGGTCGAGCAGTGTGCGGGCTGGAGTGTAAAGCTAGCCACAATGGTGAAGGATATCACATGTATCTTAACGATCGCTGACTACGCAGTTATGCTAATTGGTTCTTTGTACACGTGCACGCAAGCACGCATCCACCAACACCTATCTTCACTTCACGTAACTTGTATCTGGTCACTTTTTGAGTAAACTGTTCCTCTCCGGGCACTGTCTTCTTACTGGCTAAGGGCCGATATACGTACTACTAGGAACGAGATGTGACACAACCTATCCGAAGATATAATTGAATTACTCCAAGATAGCTTTAAAAAAACTGATGAGCAGATTACTGCTGAGAATGGCTCAATTAAAGGCCTTTACGTTTTGGTCATTCGACTCACTTTCGGTTCCCGATTGTGCAATGACCGAAAACAATCCGATAGGGAAACCAAAAATATAACTACGTTGACTGATTCAAAATAGTGCAAGTATTTTCGTATCTTGCTGCCGCCTTCGGGTAGTGTAATATATCTGCAGATGTAGTAAAAGTCGATAAGGGTAAGAGTCCACACTAGTAGAATCAAAGGTTCATGGACAAGGACATATTGCTATTCAAATGTTTTACCAAATGCATTTCACATGTCTACTCCTAAAGCAAAAAATAAGAATGGCCTATTCAACGTAACACTAGTACTTTCAAGCCCACATTAAATTCCACAAAAACTGAACCTTCCAAATGAAATATATAGCACTAATCACAACTAGTCCGTCACCTCAGTACGGAAGTCTGATATCTTGAAATGGACAAGATATCCTCTTTTCAAGCAGAGTAATAGCTAAACTGTGGTCAATCTGAGTCAGTGGCCATGGTTAGAGCGGTTGTGTTTTACCGAGCCTATCAAATTGTGGGTGCCCTGAAAAAGACGACGAGGCTGACTGCTAGTTTGTATCTTTTTCGTTTGGGCTATTCGGATCACTCGAGTTCAACCTGGATATGTCTCCATAGACTTCTTTTGCGAAAGCAGTCTATCGAGTCGAGAAGTCCAGTCAATAAAGTTGTGTCACACGGTATCGCAAATAAGGCCCTCTATCTGTAACCTAGAAAATGAGAGACATTCTGACCGATAATTCGCAAATCGTAATGGGATCAATATGAATACGTATGTAATCGCAAGACATCCTGACTGCTCTCGTACCTTGAACTCATCGGTCTACAATAGATATTTCAGAATGATCAAACTTTACTGGATGAATAATGGGCACCAAGAACAAGCGTGTTCTTAATACTTACGCCACATTCGAATCAGAGAATATCAGACATTAAACCACGAAACGTCCGTAGACGGGAAAGATGCTGATACGCCATAGAATGAAACAACTACCACCATATCTCATAAACTTTGAGAGGATGCAATGATCCAACGGATTAGATTATTTCAAGAGGTCCAAATATGCTGCGTCAACACCTAACTCAATATGTACTATCTCGGTCCGCCTAGTAGGTGTCAGCAATATTTGGTTGTGCAGGAGCCGCCCAGAAGGAGGACAACTTCTTCAATGGTGTACTCAAATTCGTACAGCTAGGGTACTGATACGCCAGCAACGAAGGTTTAACAGTCGTGGTAAATACTGGAACAGGTCACTAGACAGCAGTCAGTTGGATTAGCCCAACAGCTTCCTCTGTAAATTGGGGTTATTTTGCTACGATCCATCATAGGTATAATTTACCTCTCATCAAGGCAGTGTTAAACAAATAGATTTAAAGGTTCAACAACGTGGTCAACAGCCACAGCAAGAGCCTTCGAGTGGATACATCAATGTCGTGCAAACCATAAGAATGTATACAATAGCTATCTAAGCACGCTTTCTAACATCATTTAGACATGAGTGAGTGTTGTTGGTAGCGCAAAGGATGCCAAATAATCGGGAGACCATGTAACGTCTTGAAGAGTTGGAGCGGACAGCAGCTATTTAGCATTCATCGCTTGCTTGGTGGACTATATTGGTCTAATCGTAGTTAGAAGATGAATAAAGGTTAACTTTGAAACGCTGTTTATCCGCTTTTACGTCAAACTGTCGTCGCTAATAACCTGATCGGTTGAAGCCTACTGGTGCGTTACAGTTCCTCGAAAATCAGTTGGGTACATTGAGCGTGCTAGACTACATAGAACTTCGGACACTCATTCTCGAACAGATGGTGCAGATAAGCTATGCTGAGTCCCGTATCATCACGTACTTAAGTTTCTAGCTCAGTACAGATGAGGTCGCGTTAACTTAGCTTTTCGAACATCACTAACCAGGTTGTCAAACTTTAGGAGCATTTTCCCAAGCAAAATCTGACGCAGCCAGGCTAAGTAACCAGTTGGTCCCCTCAACGGATTCAGCCAATTTTCTGCAGGACGTTGTGGTTTTGGTCCTCTAGGAGGTTTCCACACAATATTCTTCATATCAGGCTACCTGTAGAGTGTATTCGCATAATCATTGCGGTCCAGAAGAGCGTTTCTGACCGCTATCTTGACCATACATTACTCTTCATTAAACAGCTTGTCTAGTATGAACGATTTATTTCCACCTATGAACCTTGTGTGAGAAATAAGGTAGCCATGAAGTTTTGTAAGTTCGCCCTCATTTGTTCCGTTGCTGGCGATCCAAAAGCCTAGAATTTGTGATCGCTAGCGATAGGAATCTGTCTGAGCTTCTTCTTTATCATCCACCTAAATGCACGCACCAAGTTAAGTTTCATCTGATGAAGAAGCTGGAGGATAATAGACAGCATTCACAGAGCAAGCGTAGGCGACCCTAAATGGAATCAGGCCTCCATATTTGGTTTGGGCACACACTACAGGCCGCTGTGGAAACACAGATCTGCTACATCTTAACTGGTACGTTCATACCGGAAAACGAACATACCTGGTAACCGAAATTCAGCGTCAGGTAGTTCAGTGCGCAACCTTGTTACCTTGATGGCAGTAGCACCTTGGTTAATTTAATAAGTCAGCCTTTAGAATTCATGTACATACAGGGAAGTATCTTGGATAACTAGAACGCACTTAAGACAATAACCGCAGTGAGTGCATTTACGTGTGTCATTTTTGAGCTGGTGTCTAAACATTTGGGTGGCTAGCACATCCACAACGTGACACAGGGGCCCAATACAGTGGTACTCTATTTCCAGCCCAAGCTGTACATGTGATTTGAGGTCAAAAGGCAACGGAACAATAGTTTACTAAGGGTAACGACCCAGAGCTCAACCGGTTCCGTAGGATGGTGATGGTGTGTGCTGTAAGTCCTTAAGGAATAATGACAAATGAGACGTCAGTAAATATTGTGTCACCTCCTGGTGAACACATACAGAGGGTGAAAAAAGTGGAACGTATTCTAGTAGTTCACCGTCAGTGAAATCTCTAACAGACGCTCGAGTGTAGTTATGGGTAACTGACCACGTGAGATGGTGCAGCGAAAGGAGTGCACACTCAAGTGTGGGTCTGAACTGTATCTGCGTCAGAAAACTGATGACAGATTCTGGTAGGGCATTCCACACACGGCGAACGTGTGCGGAAAAGAAATTTCAACGGCATTCCAAACGACTGTGCTGCGCTGCCATCCCGAGATTTTGAACTTTCAAATTACTGTTGTGACTGAGTCCCAGTAAATGGCGGTGCGTGTGGTTGGGATATCACAAAATCTAGTAAATCGAAATAAGGTCCCCACGCAATCACCAGTATTTGCTGCCGAAGACTCGGAGCACTCGAAGCCTTCGTTCATACGGCAAATTATACAAACTTTTGACATTCTTGGTTGTTCTGCGCGGCGGTATTTCTAAGGCAGTGAGATCTCTCTTCAGCCATGGCTGCCAGATCTGTAGTGCATATTGCACATGTGAAGAAAAGTATAAGCCTATAAAATGTTGAAAAATCGACGGGTCGAAGCAACCGAATACTGGCCTTAATAGATTCACGAATTGGATGCCACTCCTTGATTCCTTGGCGCCTACTGGTATGTGCACACGGTTTGCTGATTCGCTGTTGCGGTGATATAGAATCACTGGTGGTGTTATTTTCTCGATGAGAGTGAGTGGCTGCGGTTCTCCAACTTTTGTCTTCATTCGTAGATCCAAAGTATTCATGTTACCTAGTATCTGCCAGCTGCTGATAAAATTTACCGCCATCTGTTGTGACTGAACTATTATTAGTATCAGTATCCTTGAACCAGTTCCTCTGTAGTAAGGCAACACGCGCAGAGAGCTTCACGGGTACACGGCCATTCCTCCAGGTCATGAGCTTGGGCTTCTTCGTATCTTAATGTCGGTAGCTGGGGCACGCCATGAACGAAAACCAATCTGCTACGCTCCGTGCGGTAAGCCTTTGAAGTAATTTTGTCCCGTTGGCATTCACTGCACGAAATATCCGAAAAAACACGTATCCGACTGTCAACATTCCGCAGGCGGTATGCCGACAAAAGCAACCTATCCATATCATCGGTGGATCTCAATGTTACTCGTATAAGCCTTGACTCACCGTATTGCATTGAGGTAGGATGCCTAGTGCTGCGCAGCAAATTAGTCGGCCTTTCCCGACATCTGATATGGTCGTACATAAAAGCCCACTGTTTCAGCCCATGCTGCCTTTTATCCGTTAAGTGGTTTGGCTTAAACTCAGAAACATTGGTGCATATGAGCGTCAGACACCGTGTAACAACGAGGATATACATTTTGATTTTATTTTCTCCTAGTCTTCGGCGATGCAGGAAGCACAGCTATCAGGGGCTTTGGTGACGTCTCTGCAGGTTTCCCTTGGTCCTTAATCCCTGGTGTGACTAGAAGGTGAAGTTAGTGACTTTGCACTTTGGCTATATCTAGCAGCAACTGTTGCATAAGTGTATCAGCTTTTTGAAAGGTTCTGCTTTTGTCACTCAATCGGAAGGGTAGGTATTGCGGGTGTTGTATCAGTCGATACGTTGCATAGATGAATGTGGGCGATGGAGACGGGCCTGCTTCGATCGGTTGCGACTAGTTGCTTCGTGATTCCCAAGGTATCGGGTATTGCCAGGTCATGCGAACGACTGGGACATTTTCTTGGTTTCAAGGTAGCAAATGGGGAGAGGAGTGAGCTGCCAAGTCTGCTAGTGCCACCTCAATCGATGTAATCTTCGCATTCAGATGATGTTCATTTTCGAGGGCTAGACTGTCATACTACTGCGCTAATGCCAGTACACGCTTCACAAGTGGAACTAGAGTACACCTAGGACAGCACCAGCGTGCGGCCGGGGTACTGATAAAGTTCTTTAGTTGGTTCGACCGACCTGGACGCACTTTGGATGGTTGCAACTGGTGCAGTGAGAACCTGCTATTCCTACTTTACTAACCTAGCAAATGTTTGCTTAGCACAAGAGACTTCGTTTCGGGCTGCTAGTGAAGTGGCCACAGTGGCCGAATGGCAGTTGCATGTTTTGCGGATCAGCAATGTATCGCTGTCAGTTAGTGCCTAGTCGCTTGCCATCAGGTCAAGGTCAGATGACAGGCTCATCGTTCT